CCCCCCCCCCCTCCCCCCCCCCCCCCCCACAGGGCTTTGTTGAACAGGGTGTGTGGGATAAACACATTAGGCAGAGGTTTCTTCTGAAGCCATGGGGAGGAGCAGCTCTCGCCACATTAAGGACAGGCCCATTCACACCTGGCCTGGGCTGGGAGTCTCTGCTGTGGATGCACTTGGGCCTGGGCTCGGGGCAGGGGGCTGTTAGGAGAGGCGGAAGGGTTGAGGGTGATGGATTACCCTGCAGCAGGGCCTGGTTTGAGACCCTGTCCTACCCCCTTCCCTGGGGCCTGAGTTCGAGTCCTCTTGCGCATCTGCTCTGAGCTGCAGGGCCTTGGTGATGTGTGGGGCCATGGGAAAGGACCTGGGCCAAGGAGCTGCAGAGTGGCCTGAGCCCCACCTCTAGTGCTATTATCTCTCCAGGACCCTCCCCACCTCCCATGCCCATGGCCCCCAACCCAAAGTCTCCTCCAAAGCAGTCCCCTTGTAGAGCCAGGCCTCTGCCTCCCCAGCTGTAAGCCTAGCCTGGGCACTGGGGCAGGATGGAGCCAGGGACGCTCATCGGAGCTATGTCCTGGGTCAAATGGCCCCACCCCACTGGTGCACACGTACAGCACCATGCACGGCAGATGCCGGCACAGCAGCAGAGACCCCCGAGTCCTGCACTACTGCCCCTAGGGGCATGGGATGGCCTGCTCGGGGCCAGAGCCAGCAGGGGAGGGGACCTGGCTGGCAGCAGACCCAGGCCTGGGTGGTTCAAATGTGGGTGAGGGCGTGGATGATGGAGCTCCTGCCCCGGGATCTCTCGCTGCTCAGGCAGGGATCCCTGCACTTCTTTCCCCGAATGCAGCTGCCTCTCCAGGCACAAGGCACCGGAGCTTCCCCCACCCCCAGGCCATGCAGGGCACGGGTGAGGCGTACGTGCCTCCTGGGCCCTGGCCCTGCTCCTGCATGCAAGCTGGGGTTATCGGGGCCCCGTGCTGTGAAATCTCTGGTGTGTGACTAAGCTGATAGGGCCAGATGCAAGCTCCAGTGTGGCCCTGAGTTATCGCCCCACCGCATGTTTCCTCAGGGCGCAGCCCTGCCGTGAGCAGGACTGATACCCTGGCCCCAACACAACGGCAGTGTCAGGAGGCAACTGCGGGGTCTACAGGCAGCACCAGGCACAACCATCATGCCCTGCATGGGCTGCCACAGCCCCCCCACACCACCTGCAGCAAGTCCTCTCCTTTCCTCCAGCCCCGGCTGCTTGGGGTATACCCAGGTCCCATGGCTGGCAAGGCACCAGACAGGAGCTCGGACTCCTGGGTCCCCTTCCTAGCATGGCCATGCACCGTCTGCATGTGTTTGTGCAGCTCCCCGTGTCCTCCCTGGCCTCCGTTTCCCTGCACGGTGCTGCCATAACTGGCTGTGGGCTTGGCATGGGGGGGAACCTGCCCCCACACACACCTGAGACCCCTGCTCTCACCCTCTTCCCTATTGCCGACCCCTGCTCAGCTGGTGGGGGGGACCTGGCCCAAGCAGGGGCAGCTGAGCCTACCTTCCTGTCCCAGCAGATCCCAGGGGACCCCCCCAGGCTCCTGGGAAAGGGCCAAGGGGGGATGATCACCCCCATTGCACCAAGGCTTGAGGGGTTCAAGGGACTTGCCCCAGGCCCCACAGGGAGTCTTTGGCAGAGGCAGGAATTGGTTTTAACTAGTGTCCTTGGTGCTTCCTACCTGGACAGCCGAGCTGGCACCAGACAGACCCCAAATCCTGCCTCTGCCTCCAAGGTTGCAATGCAGAGGCTGATGACCCCATCCCATAAATTATCCCGATGCCCCGGTCTAAATCCACGGTGCATCCACACCTAGATGACTGTGCCCTCGTCTGGTCCCCGCACCTTGAGAGAACCAGAGAAGGTGCAGACAAGGGCAGCAAGGATGACCAGGGGCACGGAGGGGAGACAGGATGAGGCAGGACTCATCAGTTTGGAAAGGAGATGCTTGAGGAGGACAGGAGAAGGGCTTGCAAAATACTAAATGGTTAAGAGAGAGTGAATAGGGATTTATGGCTGTCTCCCACCTGGCAAGAACAGGGGGTCACCGCATGAAAAAAGAGGGCCCTCAGTTAAAAATGAACACAGGGCAGTCCTTTTCCCCCAGCCTGGCATTAAAAGCAGGAGCTTGTTGGCACCAGATGCAGTGGAAGCTGATGGTTTAGCCAGATTCACCAAGGGAGTGGACAGGGGCTTGGAGGAAAGGGGCATCAGGAGCTATCGAGCATGAGAGCGAGGGGCACGGCCGCTGCATCAGACCTTCAGTGCTGGAAGCTGCAAGGGAGGGAAGAGCAGGGGAAAACCCTGCTCAGTCCCAGTCACTCTCCCTTCTACCTTCCGCATGATACAGACCTATTTGTGATGCCCCTGGGCAAGCGTGAGCCTGGGCCCACCACCTAACACTATAAGCCTTCCTTAAAAAAAGGCCACTGAGGACATAATTGATTCCTTGGGACAAATAAAAGAAAAACAGGGACAGGACTGAGGGTCAGAGGTTTATAACAAGTGCACTCAGGGTGGGGACACAGCAGAGCACACCGGAGAGCACCCAGTGGCTCCTGAACTAGTGCAAGGAGCCAGTGGATGCTGCGCAGTGAAGCTCTGCCTGGAGGCAGGTTGCACCAGGCTCAGGAAGGCGGCCTCGCAGCCCCCCTGGCCGGAGCCTCCATCCTGGCACGATGCACCGCTAGCCGAGCCAGGCCAGTTGACCAGGAGGTCCCAGGACAGGGATGGGGAACCTCAGCACAGGGATCTGGAAGAGGCAGATGGTGCAGGGGCTGCAGCCTGGTGCACTCCAGAGGTGTCGGGGGCAGGTACACAGCCGTGGCCACAGCTCCGTGGAGGAGCTGCCCACTGAAGTCCCTGGGGGCTCGTGGGGTCAAGGTGGAGATCGGACAAGATGGACCTGGGCCTGACTCAGGACACGGCAGCTCTGTTCTTCGCCCATCAGGGCAGCTTGTGGCTCCGAGGACGGGCAGGGTCTGTGGGCTCCCGGGCGGTCAGATCCTGCCACACTGGGAGGCCTCTGCAGTTGCATCAGCTCCCATGGGAACAAGCCCATTGCAGCAACCCCCCCCCCTCCCCTCCCCGGGGCTGCTGCCTGCCAGCCCCCCACCAGGAAAAGGGAGTAGCACAGGGGAGCCTGGCACCACTGCCTGGCCACGTCAAGAGCTGACAGTCGAGGCCTGGGCTGTGCTTCCTTGCAGCAGCTCCGTGCTCTCCTCATGGTGCAGCCGGAGACCAGCCCAGGCTCCCTGGGCACCAGGACCAGCTCTTCGCAGCCTGGTCCCGGGAAACCACCATCCACTGGCAACTGAGAGCCAGCGCTCCCTCACCCTCCCTCCCCATCCGGCTCTACCAGCCTGAGTCATCCCTTCTCCAAACAGCCCACACCTTTCCCTCCGCCCCAGCAAAGTCTTCATGCACCAGGCACTGGAGAACAGGAACGCGCAGCCCAGCCGGGCTGACAGGTCTGGCTGGAGCCTGGCTCCCGTCACTGCTGGGGCTGGGCACGAGGCACACCCCACTTGGCACCAAGGGCTGGGATGCGCTGGCAGCAGGTGCCCCAGGGAAGGCAGGGAGCCTGTTTGCATGGGCCCAGGCAGAGAGCAGCCAAATGCCCCTTCCCCTGCAAGGAGCCCCAGGCCTGGGCCAATCCCCTGTTTGTTGGCTCCAGAAAGGATGACTCTAGGGCAAGTGGGGGCAGAAAGGAGCAACCTATTCTTACAGCCTCCCGGTGCAGCAGCTGAGGATCCAGCCTGGGGGCGGAGGGGGGTTGGACCCTGTGAGTTTTGGGCCAGTCCGTCTTCCCAGGAGCTGCAAGGCAGGCAAATGGAGAGCTCACGCCCCGTCCTCCTGCCCAGAGGCCAGTCCCCACTGACAATGACCAGGGCAAGGGCTACTGGTCCCAGTAGGTGCCAGCCTGGCTCAGGACCCCTGGTTGCTAGTTCACACGTGCACACACTAGTGCAAAGCTCACATCAGTGCCTACCAGGCCCACATCCCCTCTAAGGGGAGCAACGCAGAGGGCTGGTGGCTTTTGCCCCAGCCACCCCGGAGCGAGCGGGGATCAGGGGCCGGCGCAGCAGGAGACAGCCTGCCCTGCTGTCAGCCCATGGCCTACACCGTGCTTCCCATGTCAGGTCTGCACATGCCTCCTCCCAGAAAGCTGGGCCCGATCCCACACGTTGTCTGGGGGAAGGATGGAGACAGACCTGCTCGCTGGCCCAGGGCCTGCCAGCGCTTAGTCACAGCTGCGGTTTCCTCAGGCATTCATGCGCACCTGAGAGCAGCAGGGCTGCTGGGCGAGCTGTGTACTGGGGGGGATCCCAGCCGGCCTGGGGCCTAACCCCTGGGCTCCCCCGCAGGACCCCTGCCTCCTACCCCCAGACTTCGGCCTCTGAGCTAGGAGAGGGGAAGGGCCGGTGCAGGTCCCGGCCTCGGCCGTTTCCGGCGCTGACTCACCCTGGGCAAGTCGCTTCATTTCTGCCCCTTGATTTCCCCATCGGTGGGATGGGGAAACTGAGGCACGGGGAAGTGGCGTGACTCAGTGTTTGCCACGCAGGGCAGGCACTAGCGAGCAGGCGCAGGGCAGGGCGTGCCCCGAGATTCCTCCAGGGCTATTTTAAGCAGAAATTAATTCTGATGTAAATATTTACCGACAGGGAACCCAGCCGCACCCTGCACCGCAGCCGGCTCCTCGCGCTGACGCGCGGGTATTTATTGCGCCCGAGATCCCTGCATCGCAGGAGCAGCGCGGAGAGTGGGAATACTTCCGTGCGGGAGACTGCAGCGGTGTTTGAGCTAAGCAATGGTGATGACGGACAGGAGTGGAGAGCATCCCGGGACACGCAGAGGCACAGCACAAGAGGAAATAATATATTATGGCTTTTTTTCTTAAAAAAAAAAAAAAGAAAAGACGAAACAAAACAAACAAAATGTACATCTTGCAGAAGCAGCTGCCCATAAAACACCTTTTTTCTTGTAGTTTAAGAGAGAAGTTTCAAGTCTAGCCCAGGCCCAGCAGCTCCCAGGGGCAAGGACACCCTCCCAGAGCACGCATCCTGTATAAGGCACGCGGGGGACAGGAGCTGCAGCAGCACCGGGTGCCCTGGCTGGGAGAGGGGGCATGGGGCATAAACCACGCAAGGGCCCGATGGCCCCAGACAAATGTTACAAAGGGGGGGTATGCACCCCTTTGCACCATGTAACAAGGCAGGATGGGGCCCTGGGGAGTGGCGGGGAGCCAACACCCCCCATCCTGCAGCACCAGGAGGG